CCTAGCCAAAAGCCCTATCAATGCTGGAGCCAACCGGAAGTCCGGTTCCCCCACCATAGAGTCTCCTCCTAGCACGGCGTCCTTTTCCCCCTACCTGTCCTAACCGAAAGCCCCATCAATGGTGGAGCCAACCGGAAGTCTGGTTCCGCCACCATAGAGTCTCCTCCTAGCACGGTGTCCTTTTCCCCCTACCTGTCCTAACCGAAAGCCCTATCAATGGTGGAGCCAACCGGAAGTCTGGTTCCGCCACCATAGAGTCTCCTCCTAGCACGGTGTCCTTTTCCCCCTACCTGTCCTAACCGAAAGCCCTATCAATGGTGGAGCCGACCAGCGACAGGGAGCCGCAGCAGAGGGATGAAAGAGCCACATGCGGCTCCAGAGCCACAGGTTGCTGCCCCCTGGGTTAGACAAATACTTGAGGTGGGATAAGATGGTTTCCTCACTAATGGAGATAAGAATGAAACAGCAACGGGGAAGAAAAGGGGAGGGGAGGGGAGGGGAGAAACATTCCCTTTATGTTTTGTTGCAAAACTGGAAGAGAGAACAGAACATTCAAATTGAGGTGAGAGCAAAATCCAAGCCAGCCCACAAGGAGCCCGGAATAGGGAAACGGGACTTTATCGTTTCTGAACCTCCCCCCAAGAGGACCCGGGATGAGCCCAGAATACGATGTTTTCTGCAACGGCCGATTGGTTCCAGGGATGCTACGACCACTGTTGCATTTCAAAACGTTTAATCATTTTTAAAGGTGGATTACTTAAGCCCCCCCTCCAATTAACCCAATTTCAAACACAACCCCCATCTCAAAGACACTCTAGAAATCTTAGTTCTGTCGTGAAATGCAAAAAAAGCAGAAATGTTTAGACATGTTCTGAGATTTCATGGTTCAGTTATTACTTTCTAGACATGATGGTTTCAAAAAAGGAAATGAAATGGCAGAGGCCTCGCTGAGTAAGATCTGCAAAGTCTGGGGAAGCACGGAGGATCTCAGCCTTGAGTTCCCCGGAGGAAACCAAGTAAAAATCTAACTAAAAACAAAATAAGTTACACATTTCAGAAGGGCCCCTTTCCAGACACCTGATCTGCAGGTTGCTAAACCTTGTTTTCAACAAACCACAATAGTTCTCCAAGAAACAACAGTTTGAAGAGCAGAAACGTTGGGTTTCTATAGCAAATGGATGAGTCAGTTCAAGGGGCCCACCCAGATGAAAAGATAAGGACGTACCACAGATATAGTTCAGGTGACAGTCTTGGAGAAGACCAAGAGACTCTAAGAAGATGAGCCAAAGTTGTCTTTAGCACCAAGAAAGCGCACTATTAATGCTCTGGGAGGAAGCTGTTCAGAGTTAAGTTGTCCGCGTCCGTCTCAGATGCGGTCTCCCCGAGAAGATGTACCCGCTTCACTTTGGGCCTCCTCCTCCTCTCCTCTTCCTCCTCCTCCTCCTTTTCGGCAGATAGCAGGGACGAGATACACACCATCTCGGTGTGGTTGGCCTGGCCCAGTCGGTAGGATCTCTTCTGACGCCACAGCATGATGGCCAGGACGCCGGAGCACACAATGAAGATGGCGGCCACCAAAGCCAGCAGAAGGATGGCCAGCAAACACTTTCCAATCAGAAGGCTGGCGTCATCGGCGAGGGGAGGCGTCCCTTGGGTGGTGGCTGAGGAACCTGATGTGGTAAGACGCAAGCTTCGTTTTGGGGACCTTGTTGAAAAAGCCAAGGAGGTCGACTCCATTTCATCCAGCCAGTCGTATTTCCGTGTTTTATGGGGCTCGGATGTACCTGTGACAAGGAAAGGTTTTGCCCTTGGATTTAGGCCTGACCTACCTGAGTCCAAGCTGGGCTTCTGGGTGGCCGTGGAAAACTCCGTGTCCTCCACCAAAGTCTGAGATGTGGACGAGATTTCATCCAGGTGTTGTGGCATTGCAGATGTAGCTGCTGTGAGAGGAAGTTTCATTTTCGACTTTGTGCCTGGCCTAGGTGTGTTGGGGATGAGCTTCTGGATAGCTGTGGAAAACCTCGAATCATCCATCAGATCCTGAGAGGACACAGTAGACAGGTCGTCCGAGAAGGCCAAAGTGGGTGTGACCTTTTTCAACGAAGAACGGAAGAGGCCTTCCTGTCCTTTGGAGGAAGGCCCAGAAGTCTCAAGTTTTTTCTCCAATGTCGGGGTGGAAACAGGCTCCTGAGAGGGTTTGGAGGTGACTTCAACCAGCCATGACCACTCCGTGGTCGTTTTCGGGGGAAGACTCTTAGGTTTGCTTTTTGCCAGCACGTTTTTTGGAGAACCTTTGGATGCAATTTTGGTCACGATCTCCGTGGGGAAGGAGGTGGCCTCTTCCCTGAGAGGCTCCGTGGAGACGCCTGGAGCTGTTGGAAGGGCAGGAGGCTCCTTGGCGTGCTTCTTCTCTGGATCCCGTCTTCCTTGATGGGGCAACGGAGAGGATCCGTTACTTCCCTCAGTTGCTGCTTTCAACTTTGAATCACCCACGTTGGCGGGAGTCGCCACGTTCTTTGTGCTGGTGCCATCTTGGATACTCTTGAAATCACCAGACAGGAGGAAGCTTGAGAGGATCATGGCCAAGAAGGTCCACCAGGGAGCCATGTTGCCTGATGCGGAGTGGGAGAGAAAGACGCAGGTCATCAGGTGTCCACGCAAATAATCAACCTCTATTTCTTTCCTTCACGAAAGCCTCTCTAGCCCAGCTAAGACCCCATGGAAGAAGGGGGCTCAACCCCCAATGTATCTAGGGTAGGAAAAAGTCTTTTATCGAAATGGGCCCTGGTGAAACCTTAAAGGAGGCCAGAGAAGTGAGTGCTTGGGCTCTACCTTCCCCCATGTTTCAAGATCCTCATTTACGAGAGCAGCTTTTCTTGCTTGGCTCAAGAGAGATGCTCACCAGAGAGAAGGATCAGTCATATCAATAGTTACATTAAACCCCCACGGGGATTTTTTGTGGCAGCCTTGCACACGGATGATGGACAGAACACGTAAGGAAGCCTCAACAGACAGCTCAGGATCTCAACTTTCTGGAGCGGGACTGACTCAAAGTTTCCTACGGGTTTACCACAAGTTGCAATCCAGCCTTGCAATCTTTTCAGAGATGTGGTTGTGCCCGTTTGCTGACTTCCGTGGTGCCCCCACAGCACCCAAAAAAGCGAGCAAGCGGCTGCCACCAATTGGGATCTTCAGAACTTTTAAGTTGTATCTCAAAGCATCAAGCTCTTTGCATAGAATCACGCACAGCGAAGTTGGCTTGCTTATCTTCACGAAGTCAGAGGGCCCAGAGCAACTTTCAACCAGCCCCATCTCTGGGAACGAAGTTCTGGATCAGACCTTCAGCAAACCCTGTTTGCCTCCAGGAGCCTAATCCTCACCAGAACCTGAGGCTGCTTCTACTCCCCATCATCCACCGCTAACTACAATGTCCTACTCTTAAGGGGCTCCCCACAGCGAGACAGCTCAGCTACCCCCACAAAGGAAACGTCGCCAGGAACGTAAAGAGCCGCTTGGTTCAACTGCAGGAGAAGACCTCAGGAACCACTCTTAGCACGGGATCTTCTAGCAGCCCGGTTCTCCTAGCCCAACTCCAAGAAAGAGATGCCAAGAGATTCCACTCTGGCTTAAGCCCGGCTTACCTGCTCCGAGAGAAAACAGGAACCCTGTGTCAGAGCAGCATGAGAATGCGAAATCAGAAGCAGCAGTTTGGAGGACACATGATGCAGCTTCCTTTGTGGGGGAGAGGAAGGAGGCCGTGCGTATGGGTGGCAGAAGAAGAGCTGTGGTTAGGAGCCTTCGCACCGGATCAGGGCTTAGGAGGGGAGGCGGTTCTGGGGTTGATTTCTCTGCTTTGAGGAGGTGCACTACCAGCTGACGTTCGGTGGGAAGTATCTGGATGGCGACACCTCTCTTCACAGAGGTCGAGGCTCAGCCCAAGGCAGCCTAAGGCCAGATGCCTGCTTGAGGCCTCCAAGGGCCACCACTGCACAATGTCCAATTGGTCAGAATAAACCTGGACGTTTCTGTGTTCTGTTCCAGTGGCCGAGATATCATAGCGACGGGCCAGTCTTGGGTGTAAGGAGAGACACTCGGCTGGGTAAGACACCAAGAGTCTCGGGGTGAGGGGCAAAGCCATGGGGATACTCCAGGTATTTGGTAGGTGCAAGTAGGGCAAGCATTAGCTTTACACACAGAAGGGCTGTGAAATTGGCCTGCAACTCGTTCAGTCGTGCCGGCCTTGCGAACCGCTGCAGAACTCCTGAATTGGGAGAGGAGGGTTGGGATTTCTTGCCATGCCTGGAAGGGAAACAGATGCGTCACCCACCAAGTATCACTTCATACAAAGGAGGCTCAGGTGTGCAATTTTTGGCAGGACCAATTTCTTTTGCCTTGACAGGTGAGGAAGTCTCACCTCGGCCGGTTTTCCTGGAAAGTAAGCCCACCAAGTTCCTATGCCTCTTCCGGGAGGACGGAGTGAGATCTTCTTCCAAAAGGGTCTCCACACCGGCTCTCTGCCAATTCTTCTCCTGCTCTCTTTGCAGCGTGTTCTGTCGCCGACACCACTTCGCTCAAAAAGACCACAAGGTCATACCTCTGGCTCTCCCGTGACCCGACAAAAGCGCGAACGTCATAAGCGCGCCGACAACACCGCGGCGCTAAAACCGCGATGTCAAAAGCGCGCCGACAACAGCGCGCCGACAGAAGCGCGATTTAATTTAAGGTAAGATTTACGGTTAGGGTTAGGTTTAGGGTTAGGTTTAGGGTTAGGTTTAGGGTTAGGTTTAGGGTTAGGTTTAGGGTTAGGTTTAGGGT